ATGTCAGGGCAGGAGTGTCCCTTGAGCCAAAGCTGGTATAATCACAGCGAGGTCCTCAGGGGTGTTTGTTTCAGAGCTACTTACTTGTAGACATTTCTACTCCCTAACTACCAGAATTTCTAAGGAAATATAACTCTGAAATTCTGGACTATAAATCCATTTTTCCCTTTGCAAAATATTTTCTATAGAACAAGTTTACCACATTGTTGATATTTTGAGTTTTTGCAAACAGTGTGGGTGAAAATGTCAACAGTGATACTGTCGAAACTAGAGCAGAGAGAAAAAGCAACAACAGTCTCTGGAGGCCCAAGAATGGCCCAGAATCTCCTCCGGAGGCTTACGAAGCTTCCAAGTCATCAGAAATAGAAACTTCTCTCTACCCCATGGGTCTGTTTTATGTCTCAGGTGTTCACTAACTGCTCAGAATGGCAACCAAGAAATTAGGTTGTTCAGATTATAAAATAGAAATAAATGCTGTGGGGCTGGAGGGTCTGCAGCATTTGATATTTGGGTATTTGGACTTCCTCCTATTAGGGTGCTTACTCTCTTTGCTCTCTTTCTACTTCCATTTCTCAGTATTTGTTAATAAAACTAGTTAATTACTACATAATCGGGAGGTGTCACATCTTGGGTTTTAAGAATTATGGTGCCTTTTACATTCATGCTTATGACCATAATTACAACGATTATGTATTTTAACATTATCTTTAATTAGTTACAATGCTCACTACCAATTCTTTCATAAAATGACTTATTTATACTTCAGGCTTAGATTTGGACATGTCTCAGAAAAGAACATCCCTCCCTCTCCGTAAATTTGTTTCAGGCAGTCTATGACTCAAGAGATATGCTTTCTGAGATCTTGTATGTCCGAGAATGTTTGGTTGTCTTTTGAACTTGGAAAACAACTTTCACCACACAACTCTGAAAAAGATTTTAATTCCTCTGGTGTTCACTGCTATGGATAAGTCTATGTCTGACTCTCCTCTTTGCTCCTTTGTAGGTAACCTTTAAAAAAATTTTTGTCTTTACCATTTAGCCATTACTTGTAAACATTTGCTACAGTTTATCAAGTGCTGAGTTTCCCCCTTAATTCTGCCAAAATATAATGAGCTCTTGATTTCTACACTCAGGCATGAGTTTCAGCTTATAAAAGCATTCTTCTAATCAGATACTGCCTTTGATTATTGCTTCTGTTGTTCTGGCCTTTTCTCCAAGAACACCTTTGATTCTGAGCGAGTCTTCATTCATGCCTCCCATTTCTGTCATCTTCTCTCTTATCACTTTCATTGCTCAGCCATATTCCACGCATCCTGGGGATACTTTTCCAGTTTGTCCTGCTCACTGCCTAGGTGTTCACTGTATGACATCACTAAAACATCACTCTGACTGCCTTGATGGTCCCAAGAAGCACAGACCTATTTCCGTCCTGATAATCTCAATTTATCTTATACTCAAATCTCTAAAGCTCATTCTGCTTGATTAAAAAAATATTAGGTTTTTGATATCCTATTTCCCCATGAAAATCCATTTTAATTTTGGATTCTTTGATTTTTGAGATCTAAAGTACCAGAATGATCACTACTTTTAAACAGAAGAGCAAGCCCATTCTACATTTGTGACTTTATCTATTTATGTTTGGAAATTAACTTATCAAAATAATATAACCTTGGCTTTCTGAACTTGCTATGTGAAACAAAGACTAATGACAGATATAAAATCTTCATACATGTGGTTAAACAAAACCTTAAGAAAAAGTAACCTATGTAAGGAAAAGTGTCAGGGTTGCTTGTCGGAAATAACTCAGTGGTTAGTTATTTTCATGTTGTGAAAAACAAAAATATATAGCATAGCTATATATTTATGGCATAGCTATGTTTCAACTAAAGAACTTCCCTACACTGAAATGTTACCCATGTTTGTAAAATTCCCATTCCTATCTCCGCATTCTTAGAAGCAAAGAAGTGCACCATTCTAAGGAAAATGCATTCCTTTAATATAAAAGTATCCTGTGATATAATTCATGCCAATTTAATATATTTTGACACTGTACTACAGACCAAATATTTTTTGACACATTTATAAACATCCCAACATGCTTGTATCAAATTTAAGTTAATAGCTAATACTGACAAATATATTAAGATATATTATTACCAAACAATTCCTTAATAGTTTACATAAATAAACAGAATAAACGAAAAAGGAGTCCTCTACATATATTAGTAAATACAAATGCAAGCACAGAAGGGTTGAGTTCACTTATTCCAGAAGCTTTTGTTGATGCTTATTATGTGCCAGGTGCTGCGCTAGGTGCTGGATCTAGATTTATCTGATGCCATCTGCTTCAATGTAATTACTACACTTCCTTTCTCCTACTCTCCTTTCAAAAATAAAACATTTTTAAAATCAGTACCATGTTGCTACAATGAGGCAATTCTAGTGACTCAATCGTTCCATGACATCTTTTATCACTATCTTAAGTGCTGTGTTCTTCTAGGTGTCAGGAGACAGCAATAGATTATTACCCAAGGCTTAAGCGAGGCACAGACAAGCCTAATCCAACAAGTGAAAACATTTCCTTTTTAAAATATGCTTCCTTAGCTCAGGCAGGTAATGTAGTAGGTGTGGAATAGATACCTACGAAAAGTAATTACTTTCTTGCACATTGCTTATGGAACTTTATATCTGTTTAATGTTCTTTTTGCAAAGCCCTTGCCTTTACTATTCCATTTTCTGTATTATTAATATTAAAAATAACCACACAATGTGTAATATGCAAAAAAAGAAAAAAGAAAGAAAAACTCCCTTTCTGTACCCAGCAAAAACAAATATCAACATATTGTCAAATATCCTTGTGGTCTTTTTCTTTATACATACGTTATCATTTGTTGTTCAGTAACGTTTCATTTTGACTCTCTCTGTGTTCCCTGAATTACCTTTTTTTAAACATGGATTCAGCTCACACCTGTAAGTAGCAATTTGTAGGCCCTTTACCTGCAATGTAAGTCCCTCCAGACAAATTTACTTGGCATCTCAAAAACATCTCCAAACACAAATTCATTACCTTCCTTCCTCCTTGAGCTTCCTAGTCTGTCAGTTTTTTACTCTGTTCCCTTTCTCCCTCACACACCACACTGGCCACCAACTAGTGCCATTTCTGAGAACAAAATCTCCCTTCAGTATGCCCTTTCCTGCAGCCTCCCAGTCACACCAATCACCCTGTCTCTGTCCTGTCATCTTCATAGCAGAGTTAATGGAAACAAAAACGTATAGCAAAGAAAAAGTAGGGAATTTCATTTGTTATTGAAATTCCCCTCCACTGGCTCCCCACAGGCTACAGGATAAAGTCTAAATCCCCAGCAGGCCAACAAGATCCTCCCATTTTCCTCTCTGTTCTCCCGCCCTGACTAGAGCCACCAAAAGCAGCAGAGAACTGCACCTGAGACGATCTGTACCTTGAGGTCTGATGCTCCCCCTGGTGGCAGAGAACAGCATCCTGGGCGGGGAACCTCGGGAATACACCAGGCAGACCCTGCCAGACCAAGCAAACCTGCAGGGATGGGAGTTTGTCACCCACGTCAGATTTGGAAAGGGCCAAAGAATACTGAATTCAATGGCCCACCCAGAGGTTTTATCAAAGCAGTGAATTCTCGTGAGGAAACGCCTCAAACGTCCAAACTAGTTGTTACCATTATCAGTCTTGAGAGAAGACAAGCTATAAAGGCATTTCTTTACTTATTGCTACCAAATAAAATTACAAGATAATTCTTATCCAATGACTACACTGTCATATATAGCCTTCTGGAATTTTCATGAAATTCAAACAAATAAAAACAGAGTATTCATTCATCTATGTATTAATTCTTCCCTTCAATGCACATTTAAAGAGCACCTGTAATGCTGTAGATACAACACAAAGCCAATGCTAGAGGCTGAGTCACCCCTCCCTGTACATAGGGAATCAGAAAAATCCATGATAACAATGCATAAGGGAAGTCTAACCTGGACAGGAACAGGGACAACTTCCCAGAAGGAATGATGACTGAGCTGATTTGGTTATGCTAAGTAATAGCGGGTCAGGTAAAGAGTGAAGGGTATTGTTTCGGTATTGTGAAGACTTGGCATTACACATTCAGCAGAGTACACCACATTGGAAAGCTACCTGAATGCAGCAAGAATTCGGGTGTAAATGACGATGTGAAATGCAATTTTCCTTGATCCCCTTCCTCTTTTTGGAAATAAGGGATAACACACAATACTTTAAATTTTAGGAGGAAACTTAGTAACATCACAAGTCTCTTTCCATTGGTTAACAGTTATAGCTTTTTATAAAATACTGGATGGTTTGAGATTAAAAGCATCCATTAAGATATGTAATACCTTATACAAGCATCTTAGCCCACTGTAATGCTACAAACCACATGCTTTCGGCTGCAGTTAGCTCATCTGCCTGTGTGGGAGCAATGTCAGCAAGGCAGCACTCATTGCCAACTCAAGAACAGTCCATTTTATCTTTAGAGCACTGTTTAGAAAGTTACATTAAGCACGGACACAAGATATGTCTCCCAGTAACTTTGGCATTAACTTAGAGACCAAGTTTAGGGCCCTCCAGAACCAGTCTCATTGCTCTGCTACAAGACCACATTTCATACACTGTATTTGCAGTATGTTCTCAGAGACCTCCCTCAATTTTCTCTCCCTTTGTCTAGCAATCTTGAGTATGCCATAACCTGTGTGCTAGCCACGTCAAGTCCTGACTACTGGTACCCTTTATTTATTTTATTTGCATCCACTTTGGAACATACTCCAGACCTGTACATGATAGGACAGTAGGAGTGAGATGTGTGATCCAAGTAAGGCTAGTATATGCCAATTTCTGCTGATGCAGTTTCAGATACAACAGTTATTCTGAGAAACTATATAACACTGTGGACTCATTTAAGATTCCCTTTATCTAAAACTCCCAAGTGCTTGCTTTTTCTTTTTTAACTGACAGATGCTAGGCCACGTCTCCTCCATTTTCTACTGCCAAAAAGTGCAGCCATTTCTATCAACGTGTTCATGGATATGTTTATACACATTAAGGAAAATACATATTTCTCATAAAGTGAAAGTGACCATTCATTAGATGCATTTTTATTTGCATGCAATATGTCCTAGGGACTGTGCTACATGCTGGGAACACAAAGTTGAACAAGATAACATTATTTCATTGTGATCCTTTTATGTGAGATTATGTATATAAAGCAAGAGCCCAGGGCATGTAGTAGCTGCTCAATAAACTGTTATTAGTATGATCACTTACAACTTATAGTCTTTTAAAAATTCTTAGAGATTTTTAAAATGAAAATACTATAATACGGGCACCAATACTCACCAATACTATAGTATCTCTTTAGTTCTGTACGCCTGATCTCCTTTAACTGATTAGTTTTTCTCTTTTTTTTCTCATCAGTAATATATTCCTCTTCCACAGCAATGTTGCACTTGTCTTGGTCTAAAATGACTGCATTAGCATCTTCTTTCCCAGTATGAGTCCTCGCAGCTATAGCTGAGGCTGTTTCTGCATTTTGTTTGGCTTGTTTTTTCTTTTTCAATCTGGGAGTGAAGAAGAAAAGGAAAAGCATTAGAGAAATGATTTGCTGGTAGGAATCATATTAATTTCATGCAGTTGGGCTCTGAAAACGAATTAACTGATATAGGAAACACTTTCCTTATAATATTGTTCATTACCTTTTCCTGTTACGTTTTCCTTTTCTAATCATTTACACATTCTTATGTGGAGATTTGTGGCCTTTAATTTTATATCCTCAATACTATATCTCAGAAAATTAATGGGAAATGCTCTAGGCCTAAGGAAAAATGAGATTCTTCTATAGGTTATTAAATGTTGAATATTTTTTAAAATCAAGATATACACTAACCTTACTATAGTACCATGTTTGAGGATTACATTTAAAAAAAAAGTGCTCTGGTTTTCAGTGTTACATTTGGACTGGTGGGCAAGCACATTTGTAAAAACAAGTCCTTTATAAATGGCTTACATGCTGATTATAAAGATTTGGCAAGGTGTGAACTGCGTCAGGTCTGCATAACTCTTTTCCTTTATACATACGACAATAGCATTGAAAAAAGGGCTGATTTGCCTGAGACAGAAAATGCTATAATGACAATATATAATTAGCATTATGATTTCTAATAGTTGACTGATACATTACTTAACTTTTGATGTTTTCTTTACTCCTGAGTCAAGGATGAGTAAGACATGAAGTTTATCATAATTCACTGAAATCCAATAATTAAAAATATTTTCCAGTTGATGCATCACTCTGTAATTAATTGATGTGTCACTCTGTACTTGCTAGTCCTTCTTGAGAATGTTTTTTGCCTTACCAGAAATGTAAACTCTTTGAGAACAAGGACCTTGGCCTCTAATATATGTGGCACTCTGCTCATACGTAAATATTTTTTTCAGTTAGGATCCTTTTCCCTGTGTCTAGATGGAAAGTTTCTAGGCAAAGTTTTGTCTTACACATTTCTATTTCCTTTGTCCTCTTGAGCATCTATATAATTTGATGTTGGGCAATGGATAAGAAAATGTTTGGGTAGAAAAATGAGACAACTGTAGGATAATACAGGGATTAACGTTTGATCTTCTGCTGCACTGCTCTGTGATGGTGGACAAATCAATCTGACAGTCCAGAGAGGTCCCACCCTGAGGCTGTGACTCTTAAGAGCTCTGACCTCGGCTAAGAATCTAACTCCTTGAGCCCGAGTTTTCTCATACATTAAATGGTGATAACTGTACTTCCTTAGCCATCTAACAGGGTCTTTTATTGGGACTGAGATATTATATGTTGACATAAAACACAAAACAATCAGAAACAGAAATAGTAAAATATCCCCTAATACAATCATATACATGACAACTAAGCATGGTAAGATATACAACATTCAGTTTCTGGGATAAGGTTCCCATATTTCAACAAGATAATTCAACTAGGCTGTTATTTACTGAACACTGAGCAGCCAGGTTCTTAGATTTTCATTTGCTAATAAATGAGTATATAGCCTAAGAGACAGGACAGCTAGAAAAAAGTCAAAGATGAATATACTCCCCGTATCTTACTTTAGCTATCTTTTTATGGTTGCTTGTTTAAAACAAAAATAAAATCACAAACCAAACAGAATTAGAGTCTCATAAAAAGGGATTATTTTCAGTAAACATGTTTTTATTTTCTATCCTTAGATTTTAAACTGTTTTTCTGGTAAAAGAGTAGGTGGTTCCTTGCAAGATTGAGTCAGTATTTTTTTAATACTCCTAAAAAAAATAAAAATTTCTCTCCTAATCAAAATTCCTGTTTCAGGCTGAAATTAATATGCAGCAACCTAAATACTATACAGAGATCATCTCTTTACGTAGGGAGGTTTATACAAAGAGCTGATCTCTTTATCCAAAATACTGGCTATGGATGCACTGATCTCATTCTGATATACTGGCTGATCAAAAACATGTTTAAGATGAACCCTGTTGCCTCCTTCCAAAAATAATTCCTTCTAGGAGAAAAGAGATGTCAAAGTTTAGTTCTATGCAGCCTGAGATATGCTGCTTCTTAATCTTTTGAATTTTTTCCACTTTAAGTTGATTTAAATGTCCTCATTTCACTGTCCCCACGATAATTAAACTCACTCAGATCTAGGGCACATGTTTTGATGAAGGCAGCACTGTTTGGGGACATCTCATTAGAGACTGATTTTCACACATGGAAATAACAAAATGGGATACATTGTTTTATTGTTTTATTCATTTCACTAGCTTTTCCACACAGACCATTATTGTCAACACATACAGCCAAGGGTAGTTGTTACTTTAGAAAAAAATGCTAGAAAATAGCAATACCAAACTATCTTAACAGCAAACAGAGTACAATTTAATACTTTAGAAATTCTACACTCAGCTACATCTTTTGTTTTGACTAGGGTACTCATGAGATTTGTTTCTCTGGAGGTTATCCACACAACTGGAACATTTCAATCTTGCAACCAGATATCAGATGTGTTTCTAGAAGCCCTCTGCGAAATCCTTCCTCCAAGCATAGAAACACACTTTTAACACCTTTTCCAAAGGGGAATAACTGCCTACCTGATGAATGTGGTATAGTTAATGTTCTTCAAACATTCCTTTTTAGGGCTTTTATTTTTTAGAGTTTCTCTTTTGTTTTTTCATTTATATATCTATCTTGTTAAGACATTCTTGCAATAAGGATTTTTTTAATCACTAAATTAAGGTAAACTGGAAAAAAGTCTTGCAGAAAAATGAACTTTCCTATTCATTTAAGCATTTTTAATGCCCCAAATATATACTTATTTATATTGTGGGGTAAAAAAAAAATACTTGTCAAATCATCTTAAACAGATGAGTGATTGAAAAATAATGAAATACATTTAATATTTGCTGTGAGTACAAGTAAAAAAAAACACTCAAACCTTTATTTTGCTATGCTGCACTTGTCTTTCTTTAAAATAGATCACAATTACATAAAACAAGTGTTTTCAATTCAAGCCCCTCCTACTATTGTAATGAAGCCCTGTCAATTCTCTGTTCCCATTGGTCACATCAGCCTTTCACCTCCTTTCTGCCTGGACTGTTCTTTATTATTTATTATTCTTGTTTTATTGTGAAAATAATATGTGTTCGTACTAGAACATTTTCAAAATGCAGACAAGTAAAAAGAATAAGACTTAAATTAAATGTAATGCTAACACTAAGCAGGAATCATTGTTTGGGGAAGAGAATACGAAAGTCAGTAGAAAAGATAAATTATACCCTTCAGACCTTCCCCAAGGGCAAAAGAGTGAGGCAATGTGGCTCAACACCATGACCTGAGCTTCTTATTCCTATCTTCCCATAAGGGAAGATGAAAGGGATTTTTAATTCTGGAATCTCTTGGCTTATTTACATTAAAATGGAGCAGGCACTTGTAGAATACACACATACCTCATTTTTTCCCTCCTAGTGTCCGAGCCCAGAGTTAGTACACTGACTGAAGAAGTGAATAAGGTGATACTGCTAGAGAACTCATTTTTAATAGCTGAATGAAACTGGTTTTCTTCTGAAGCTTTTTCCTTTACTAAAGGAAAGGAGAGTTTGGGCACTGGCGGTACTGGGACTCAAAGCCAGCGCCTAGGGCAAGTTCTGAGTCTCTGTAAGAGGTCCCTTCATGGCTCCCTAAGGTCGGTGGAAGGCAACACAAAAAGGCACCAAATGAGGAGGCTTTCATTAGCACTTAGAGTGAACGCTTCATGAAGGCAGGGATTTGTTTCGTTAAATGCTGTGCTCCCAGGGCTTGTGCATGGACACATGAGGTACTCAAGAAACATTTCTTAAATGAATGAATAGATAAACCAGCCTATGTTCTGACTTAGTTGAGATCTGCTCTCCTACAAACTTGTAATTTCACAGCATTCTCTGATTAGCAGTGCGTTCTCAAAAACAAACTCCCATCTCCTCAATTATGTACTTAATTGAAAAAGAAAATATATTAGCCACATATAATTAAAAATGTATTAAACAACAGACTAATTAATATCAAATTAGTGATTTTATATGACTCTTTCCTTAATTTTGTAATTTGGGATCCATGTGTTTTTGAAAACAGTACCATAGACAGAAATATCTAGCATGGCATTATCCAATACGGTAGCCACTGTTGTGAGCTGAGATGCTTTGAAGGGTTAATGAATAAAAAGGTATAATGCAATTATAGTTGCTAGGGAACTTTAATAAACGCTATTTGCTTCTGTACAAAGCTTGCGGTTTGCAATTGTTAGAATTCAGGGCCTGATTGCCCTACGCAAAGTACGTCAAGGGTTCAACTTATGATCGATGTGTAACTGGAAGAATGTTCTGTGTTTAATCTATAACTTAGATTGTGCTTTACTTCAATGATTGCAATTTGTCTTTGGGTACCAGAGATCTGTGAGAACAGCCAGATCTCAGGACTCTGTGTCATTGAAATATTGATTGTACATTCTGCCTTTGTTTCCTTTGTTTTAGAGTACCTGTTCCATGGCACGTAGCCCCCCTCAAATTAGTATAAAATTCCTGTAGAAGCAAAAGACTGGTGCCACTCTCTTGTACTGCTTTTATGCGGGCAGAGGTGGTCGCTGGCCAGCTAATAAAGACTCTCAATTTGGCTCCATTGAATTCTCTCGTGGTCTGTTCGCGCCCTCCACACTACAACAGCCACCAGCCAGCTGCCTATGGTTATTAAATTTAAAATTAAATAAAAATTTATAATTCAGTTCTTCAGTTACAAGAAACACACTTCAAGATTTGTGTGTGGGGAAGGGTAAAAACTTACCTAACAGGTACAATGAACACTACTGGAGTGATGAACACACAAATAGCCCTGACTTAAGCATTATAAAAGCTATCCATGTAACATTTGTACCCCTTTAATATTTTGAAATTAAAAAAAGACTTATGTGCTAGTGAGTACTTTACTGGACAACATATGTAGAACTCTTCTATCATTACAGAAAATACTGGACAGTACTGGCCTAGAGCTACAAGTAGTCTTAGTCCTATAGCAAGA